GCTGTTTCTTATTTCTTAATTTAATTGATTTTCTATTATTTACTATTCAGTGATTTTTGCGCTGGGACCGTGTCCCATTAAGTTGGTTTGTTTCATGTTAGGGATTTTTGAAAGTGGTCAAAAGGGGAATTTATGATACTTTGTTATGGGCTAAATTGTATAAAATATTTATTGTTTGTCTTTTATCTTTGGCATAGGCCGTGTTTAGTAATTAGAGCCAAGCAGCTTGGTCCTGGCTAATGAAAATGCGTCAATGATTAATGAGCCGAAAATGATGTGGCATATTGGAGCAACAATTATAAGAAAAGCAACGATGGAATCAATACAGTCGTTGGCCATGTGTTGCATGGCGAATGGGGCATGCGGCACGCGGCACGTGGCACATGGTTCATTGAAACGAAAATCCATCTTCATTTCCGACAGCCTCAAAATCGTTGGCCAGATGGCGGCTATTTCGTCGAATTTCGACATTTTTCCATTGGCAGCTTTGGACCATTCGCCGTCGCATTGTTAATTAATTAAATTTTAATTAGCCACGCCTGCGTGGCCCACCTCTTGACCAACGTATTTGGTGGGCTTGTGAAATGTCTTGTTCGCTGTCGGCTGCTTGTTGCTTGCGTCTTGTTGCTAATTGAAAATGCGGCGTGTCATTAATTAATTCAGTGGCACATTTATTAATATTCATTATACGCACCGTTGTTCGCAGCATTTCGAACAGTGTAAACTGAGGGGTGGGTAGGGCAGGCTGGCTGGTAGCCAATGGAAGTGGGCGTGGCTTTGGCCTGCATTTTATTTGCGGCCTCTTTTGTTGTGCTCTTGGCATTTGCTTAACCCATTTTCACTCAGTATTTCACACACTTTTATTTTTATTTCATTTATTTTTATTTTGCCAGAATGAAAAACTTTCTGACCTTTTGTTTTTGATGCTCCTCCCCGTACACCGCGTTTATCTTTGCCCGCATTGCCGTTTGCCTTTCTTGCTTTGACACTGCGGCGACTGCAGCGCTATCACCCTCCCTCCTGCCTCCCTTAGTCCATTTCCTTTGCCCTGGCAGTTTTCTCTGTGTGTGACTTTAAGTGTGTATAAAATATGGCGCTAAAATGCAGTTTACCCCACACGTGGCATTCCTCCGCACCCCTTCAGCCCACATGCCAGCTAGTCTGGCTGCTGAGCAGTCCTGACTGCTCCTGGCACATTCGTTCCTGCTCTTTGGCCTGGCATGGTTTTTATGGCCACGTGCGATGTTTAAAATTTACTTGCTGGCATTTTTGCAGTCAAGTTGCTTAGCACGTCCAACCCTCTTTTGCCCAGTAACTGCATTGATTTTATTATTTCTCCTTTGCCTTACCACATTTGCAATCTTTTTCACGAGCTGCTCCCCTAGGCAGTTGTTGATCTTAAGCTTTATGCAAATCAACTGTGAATTCGTCTTAGCAAATAGAACAATCTTGTCTTAACTATTGCTGTATAAACAGAACGAAGATTAACTTCTTTTTCATTTTTGAGTATCCAAAAATTCTACAATGTTTGAATTCAATTCAGATTAATAATTTAGAGGGAAATTGTATTCTTCGTAGTAAAATGGATAACTCAAAAATAGCAATCAAAAACCAAATATACTTAGATTCTCCTGCAACTTCAGATCGAAATACACTATATAGGACTATTGAGTACAGCGAGATATAATTTTACACTTTCCTCGGGCTTTCACTAATTGATTCTTTTATTTACTAACACACTGGTTCAATCTTCGATAAGAGTCCAGCAAATATAATTTAGGTTAAAGCGTTTCACTTAAATTTAGTCTTATTAAAATGCGTCACGCAGCCAGCGAGTGTATCTAATCGCATTCAAAGTGCCCAATCTTTGCTCCAGCTCCTTGTACCTGTCCCTCGGCTCTCTCCGCTTACGTGCTCCAGAGATTTACAACAAATTACTGAGCGCTATCCGAGCCGCATATCGCACAAGTGCGCTGGTCAGTCGCTATCTGCGTACATGGATCTGAGCTTGCTGGCCGCGATGTTGCGGATGTGGATTGCGGATGCGGATTGGGATTCCACTGTCGCTGCTGATACCCTGGATCGGTCCCTGCGCCATTGCCACTCGCTGAGTTCACTGCTGATGTGGCGTTGTAATTGAACCGGAAAATTACATATTTCAGGCTATTTTTACGCCGAGTTTAATGGCAGACGTGAGCGGCAATAGCAGCAACAACAACGACAACCACACTCAACTGTTTGTGGTCAGCAATGAAATAATTTATTGTTGCCTACTTTGCAGTGCAGCCACTGGCAGCTGCCCCAGCACGTAGCACACCGCCGCGCGGCGAGTGGCGCGTTGCGCGTTGTGAGTCTCGACTTGAGTGGCAGAGATAAGCGAGAGATATGGCGCAAGGTATGCTTTATAATTGCATACAAATATACGAGCATAAGCCGGAACATTTAACACAATGTAGCTACCTCTTCAGGGCTGAATTGCGGAACGATTGCGAAATTGCAGTTGACCTGGGCAGCAATTCAATATGGAAGACATTCGATTTACTCGTATCTAACGAGCTGTAAGTGAACAACTGTCGTCAACATAGCCAGCGGGTAATGTACTTGCAAGAAGGTTAAGAGCTGGCCCATTGAATCATTCCGGCAATTTAAGCAGTTAATACGGGCCAGATAACCACACGAAGAATCTTGCAAAAATACACACAATTGTCCGGTTAACTGACCGTATGAAATGTGGCTAACAAAAATGTCTTTACTTGCGTTCACTTAACTAACACAAATTTTATTGAGTATATTATATTTCATTGCTATTAGTAAAATACCAGTATGTACGATGATTCCCTGTAAGATGGTGCGAACGTAGCTATCTTTTAAGAAAATATGGTTCTGTCCTTTTATTTGGTAAGTCAGCTAAAAAGCGAAATATTGCATTTTAAAAGTGCCTTGTAGCCTTGGCTGTGCGTACAATCGGCTCTTCCTTGGAAATTTGTGGAACCAGTATAAATTCGATATCAAATGAATATTTGACATTCAGGAATATTTCTTTTTGTTTATTTGACAATAAATTATTCACACGAAGTGTAAAAAAGGAAGAAAAAAATTAAAGAAATGGTGTAACATATGGCATGTATGTATTGATAGCTTAAAAAAATTTTAGTAAAGTCAATTTTAACAAAGTCTAAGCTCTATTTAACCGAACCAGGTTGATCCCTGAATTTTAAATTTTATTTGAAATTTTAAAAACCTTGCAAACGGAAAATATTTAAAAATTAATTTTGTTATTAGGCTCTCCCGAGTCTATCAAAAATGGCAATGGATTTAATGTCGATAACTTAAGAAATAGTGGATTAGTTATATATATACTTATATTTTTAATTTTTATCTTTCTTCTTCACTTATTCGCTTGAGTCTTATCTTCCCATTCTCTTGAGCCTTACCCCGATACTTATACGCATAATTATTGGCTCCTTACGAATGGATATGGGACGAGTTTGCCAGAATCTTACATTTTGCATCGTGAAATTAGAAGTAATTATAAAAAATTAAAGTAAAAATGGGCTTATGATTGTATAAAGTCAGGTTTGCGAACCGGACCTAACTGCGAACCATTATTTCGGCCTCTATATCGAAACACCGACAATTTTTTTGGGATTGATCAATATTTGGCAAATTATAATAAAATTGCTAAGGCTCTTATTATTTTATATGACTTAAAGAAATTATGAGTGGCTCATCTATCCATCTCGTTGTCGAGTATTCTTTGCTCAATTAAATATATTTTGGGGAAATAAAATTCTGTTATAGCAATCGAGACTTTTACAAAAAATATTTCAGTCTCAGAAAATATTTTGTAATACACAACTTTTCGCATTGCAAATTTGCTTTTGAACATCAAATTTTGTGCAGTTGGCTCTTTTTGTTTGTCTTTGTTCTTTTTTAATCTATTGTTTCTATTATAATTTAAAGCTTTGGCAAAAAGTTTGTGTGGATTGCACTCAGAGCAAAAGTTAAGTTTGAAAATCGAAATAAAAATCAAATTTTCCAAACGCGTAGATTAAGAGGTACCTTGTAATTTGCGCCGTGCCCCCAATTCGCTTGAAGTGGGCTCCGAAAAGTTTACCTGGCTGGCTGCTGCTGCTGTCGTTAGTTTTTAAATTATTTTGCAATTTTAATTGAACATTTTCCCGCACGGAACTTGTTTAAAGCCAAGCCAAATGTTGCCAGTTGCCAGTTTCAGGCAGCGATCTGCGTTTCAGTCCACCGATTTGCAGTAAATAACTTTCGCCTGGTCAACCATTTTTTATTGTTGTTGTTGTTTTTGTTGTTGATGTTGAAGTTATTGTTGTTGGCAACTGGCAGCTGGTCTGTCCCATGGGCCTGGCCGTTGATGTGTGCGGCTGACCGCAGCATGCGGCCAAAATTTGTTGTTCTTGTTGTTGTTGCCGCTCTAGAGGACGCGTTTTCAGTTGTGTTTGCATTTCGCGTATGAAAATCACAAACGAAAAAAATGCACAGGCCGCCAACTGTTACTAATATATCAAGAGCAAAAGAAGCAAATAGAGCTGGGGACGTAGAGTAAAATATTGATAAATACACATATGTACGAGCGCCCGAAACACTTGTTATGATCTGTATCTGTATCTGTAAAAATGTTTACAGCTGCTATGTCTGCCCGTCATCCACAGTGGATCATCCAATAATCCCGATATACTTGTCATAATTAACTATAATTAAACTTTTTCGTTCTTGTTGAGGGCTATAGATTAGCGGTATGCACCTCTAGCCTCTTTAAGAATATATATACTTATTTTAGATCAATATGATTATCCGAGTCGATCTATGTCTATCTCTATGTTTTAACGCTTATATCCCTCATTCTGTTGCCGACAATACCGATGCCGGATTTATCCCATAAAGTTACCAGAATGACCGGTGATGAATTCAAAACGAAATCGCAGGAGGCGATGAGTTTATGAGTTGATCTATAACCAGTTCATTCGTTCACACACACATTTTATATTTCACACTCAAACTGGACATATAAAATTTGAGTTATTACAAAATTTTAATACGTGTAATATGGAACTTTCTGCCGAGGAAATAGAGGAATTTAGGCGCGGTTTTAAATTATTAAACAGTGAACAGGCTGCCTGCTTAACCATAAAGGACTTGGAGTTTTTTTCGACGTCACTTGGGAGGCACCCGACAGAACACGATCTGCAGGCGATGATCAACGAGGTTGACGTTGACGGTAATGGGGTCGTTGATTTTGACGAGTTTGTGCATTCGATGACTCTGCGAATGAGCTCTCCGGATGACGATGATTTTCGCGAAGCATTTCGCGTTTTCGACAGGGAAAACACCGGCTATATAGGAGTCAATGAGTTGCGTCTCGTTATGATGGATCTCCGTGTGCAATTGGCCGAAGACGAGGCTGAGGAAATGATACATAGCTACGACACCGATGGCGACGGTAAGCTGAGCTACGAAGAGTTCATCGCGATGATGACCACCAAATAGACTCGTAATCTTCACTGACAACATTTGCGCACATCCCATTCGGTATTTAAACAAAAAGACAGTACATATAAGGAATATGATACTATTTTAAAAATCTTCTGTTTCACATAAACTTTGCTTTTACTTTCCATTCGAATTGAACTTTTATTGTAGAAATGGTTTCTATATTTGTACACAAATCCAAAAGAGTCTATATGATTTATGCAATATCTGCGCTTTTGTTGCCCAGAGCAAAGTCGTTACCGATACTCTTCTCTAAGATCGAATGATCGATCAGGAGTTGCAAATGGGAAAAATCGATATCAATTACTGAAGTTGACGCCTTGCCTAAGCTTGAACTGCTTTTGAATTGATACTTCTGTGGTCTGTTTTTGACTAGAGGATACTTCCCGGTTTTTCGCGGCCAAGCTTGTTTTTGCTCTCCACGTACGTTTTACATGGAAATTTGCAACGAGGCCGATTCGAAAGGTAAGCAAATAAGCTAAGACATCTGCGTTGATTGCCAATTAGTCATTCCTTCAATATCGTCAAAAAGTTTTAAATATAGAAGTTATATTTGATTCTATTATAATTTTTTACTACTTATATTAAATTTTTAAGTGGGAGTACTTAAGGAGGGAATACTTAAGGTCACAACTGCTAAGCTAGTTCACGACTAGCTGAGTTCTTCTATCCATCTGTCAGTTTTTTGGTAACTACGTAGTTAAGGCTAGGCCTCGAACATATTCGGCTATTCGGTCGAGAAGGCATTGATCCAATTAGACTTTCTCTTGAAACGTTTATGTTTTTAAGTAACCAATCTGAGCAAAGAATATCAGGTAAATCGTATCGTTTTTCAAATAGTTTTATTTGTTTGTTTAACATTAAAGTATGTTTAAACTGACAGTAGTTAGAGACAGCTTTGTAAATATTTGCGAATCGGTCGCAGTTGTAATTATTAAACTTAATCAAATGAAAACCACGTTGTGGACCTCAATTAACTCGACTATAAAAATAATTTGTGGTCATTTCGCGTTTACATTGCAATGACTGTAATTAAAGCCGACTAGTAAATACTTTGCCAACGACTGATGAAAAGGGTTATAGGTATAAGAAAGAAAAAAATGCTCAACTATCCAATGCTATAGAAAATTTTGAATGTACTATTGGCGACTATAAACTGTTATAATATAAAAAAGTTACCATATGCCATTAAGTCCCTAATGTATAAAAGTAATTAAATAATGTAACCAATCATTGGCATTTTCAGCATGTTTCATAAATTCACATAGACCTCACTAAATCCTGTGAAATTGGTGGAAAAAAATATAATCGAATTGTACACAAAAATAAGTGGTAAAAAAGTGTACCGTGATATTTTAACCGCAAATTCACATATATCGACTTTTGGGAAAGTTATTCGAGTTGTAAAATTAATGCGATTTACATTTGTAATTATGTGTACATATTTTAATTTGCATAATTTAGTAACTGATGTCAGGTCTGGAATGAAATTACATTGCAGGCCAACAGCAATGTTAGCCAGAAAAAGCAGGGGCAAAAGTATCCCAACTACAGAAAGCAACAATTGCAGGTTGCATTTTGTAAATTTGTTTCGAAATTAATTTTCAATAGTTTTCGTTGCGTTGCGTTTCGTTTCGTTTTTATTTTCCCAGTTGCCAGTTGAGAGCCAGCAGCCAGATTGAAAAAGTTGGCCAACAACGAAAACTGAATACTGTGGGTGGGTCGCATTCCACAGCGGGTGGAGAAGGGTAATGAAGCGTGCGGCCAATTGAAATGTTTATCCGAATACCAAATCCAATTGCCAAAGAGGCATTTGCATACAGACAGTAAAAGCAAAACACAGTCGGAGCCCGAGCCGGAGACAGGGCCAGAGATGAGCAACAACTTTTGGCCTCGGTCGTCCATTCAATATAAGTATTTTCTTTGCTGGATATTTTCTTGGAGCAGGCCACGGCCCCAGCTTGGAGCAGCCAACAATTGTCCATTGTGCAGGGAGCACAAATTTTGCATGCTCGCCAGCCGTATTTGGTCCATAAAACAGCAATAAAGAGCCAAATCGATGCTGGAAGATGCTGAAACGTTGAACGCTGTGTGCCCTTTGTGTTGCTCTTGGGTTAAAAATATTTGCACAGGATATCGAGGAAATCATCTTGTTCGGAATATTGTGGAATTGAGCTAAGGCATATCATCATAAGCAATTGAACGGATGATCGAATTATGCAGACATACCCTTAAACCATTGTCGTCTGACTTACAATACGTCCTTTCAGCATCTCTCGCTCTCTTTCTCACTTTCTGTCTCCTGTCTCTCGGGTTTTCTCTAGGCGCACTGTGTGACAAATTAGCCACTTTGGTTATAATTCAGCGACTGTTTGCTGCTGCCTGATGGCGACAACAAGAAATTACCACAATTTGTGAGAGCGTCGAGTGATTGGTGGGCGCCAGGCTGACAAGGACGTGCAGTTGGACACCGGGCACACGACCCAGGAAGCAGGACGCAGGACGCAGGACTTTGCCTAGCCAGCTGTTGAAGTTGTGCACCTACCACACACAGCGACAACTGAGTGAAGATGTTTACGAGCCGCAACGTGCAGCAGTTAGTGGCAGGAGAGGGCAGTCTGCAGGCGCGACAGTTATAAATAGCCAAGTAAAATTGGCGACGCGACATCAGGGAGTGCACGGGGCCAGGGCGTAAACTGGATGCGATACCTTGGTCTGTCTGCTCCTTGTTCATCCAGCTTGCCTACCTTCTTTTTCATTTCGCCTGCTATTTGCCCCGTGTGCCACACAAAACTTGTAGTTTATTCAAAGTTGCCTGCCGCATTTGGTTACTCGGACATAACGAGCGAGCGGTCGGGTGGTCGGGCGGGCGTTCGGGCGGGCGATAGGAGGCAGACAGCATCCAGTGGCAGACAGCGAGCAACATATTTTCTTTGGCCATGTTTGTTGCCTTTTGTTGACAGGGCCGCAGCATCATTATGGCTAATAAACATTGCCATTTGCGGCTGCTGAAGAAATTGCCGCAGAAGTGGGTCGACTCAACGTCAGCGTCAGCTCTTAAGGTGGCTGCAGTTTAGAGAGCACTTGTGAACGCGATTTAAGTTATGCAGGCAGCTCTTTCACTCTGATAACATGAGGGGCAAAAAATAAGAAAACACGCTTGGTGCTAAGTGCTCTTATCGGAAATACTCTGTATCAAAGCTGAAGGCTCAATGATAGTTAAATCAATTAACGCCTATATTGTGAACAGACATAAACAGCTCAATAGCATTGAGATCTTAATTCATTCATGTAAGCAAGTATTAATTTTTATCGAGCCAAAGCAATTGCTATTCCCCTACCATTAGTCTGTAGTTGAGTCTTAAACTTAAGATAATTAGATATTAAGTGTCTTAGCCTTGCTCTTAATTTGTTTTCAATTATTGTTATTCTTTACGTTTAGGTCGTTATAGAGCGTCTTTTGGGAGATATCAAAATACTTTGCTGTTAACATAATAAACTCTGATAAGATAACATAAAAATATACGAATATCAGTCAGTGGAAGTGATATAATCTAGAATGCTTCACCGCGAATTTCTTTAAATACAACGCTTTATCAACCAACTGCCATATTATTTGGCCAACACCTTCAAATGATACTGATTAAACAAATATATGATTTTAGCCGTCGAAGTTAACTGTATTCGATTTTAACTACAAATCGTACAATTCTTATAATTTAAATAATTACGAAATACTAACGACTGTGCCGTGCGTATCGCACAACGCAGTTCAATGTTAGAAAAGTTATCGAGTCCACGAACTAACGGTTAGATAATTCTCAAAGTCCATTTAAATAGGCAAAATATTATTTGTATGGCTCTTTCGCCTATTTGAAATAAACAGAATAAGTATGCCGCAGTCAAAATATATAATCTCAAAATATATATTCTGACTGTCTACGTTTTACTCGCAAGCGTTTTGCTTTTAAATAAATTAAGGTATCACTTCAATTTAATTTATGGCGAACGCTTTCTAAGCCCATAAAAGTATTTACTTTAATTTCACCTTTTTCATGTTTTTGATATGTGAAAATACCATCGTGCTGCTATGCAAATATTTGTGCATCATTAAACATGTATCCCTGTTTTGACTGCCGGCACTTGGGAGAGCCGCTGGACTCGTTCCGGCTGCCTCTGCACTCATCAGTTGGATGGGCCAACGGCAGGCAATGTAAACAAAATCCACACGTTGCATAAATGTTTAAGCAACTGCTGCCAATCCTAACCAGCCATAAAAACCAGGCAGGCAAACATAAATGCTTGTAAATAAATTGCGCATACGCCGCGTATTTGCCAAGGGCAACCAGACAAGGACAACAACAATGAAGCAACAAAACAACATAGCAGGAACGACAAAATGTTTTTAAAAATGATTTCTGCATTTTATTTGTCATTTAAACAAATAAATGCCCCAGCACATGCAATTATTGATGCACCCACACCTCCCTCACGCCTAGCTGAATATTTATTTGAACGATTTAATCAGAGACAGGACATGCAACTAAAAAAGGGTCCAGGATGAGTACACAAAATATAATTAGGCTTAGGCCAGGATTAGTTGTAAATTCAGTTATTCGACCGCTGGCCAACTTGTTGAGCGTGTTTTAATTGAGGCTCGCTTTTTGGATTATGTTATCACATTTGTTGTTGCTGCGCTTCCGGCATATTAAATTATCTAGGGGATTTGCATACATATTTGAAAATCGGATATCAAAAACATATCTCTGACATAAGCCAATGGAAAATTAAATAAATGTAGCAATTGAAATATTTTAATATATATAAGCCGAGCATCAAAATCGTTTATCCTTTCCTCGCTTCCCTTGTCTTTAGCTGCCGAATACTCTCTCATGGTTTGGAGACTTTAAAATTAATGATTTCTATTTGATTTGGAATGCGACTGCTTCTAATTCTGTTCTAATCCACGACGATGATTCAGTCGCCCGAGTCGTTTTATTGCTTACAAAAAATGTGTTTACACTCGACTGGCGCCCCAGACGGCAGCTATATATACTAGCACGATTTACGCGGCGTTGCTCGGCTTTCATTTTTCTCTTCAACTTAATAAGTTTAATGCATTTGTTTCTTATG